TTTTTGTTTTGTTTGAGGACCACACCCTGTAACCTTTAACCTCACCTTGCTGTGGCTGCCCATCCTCTGGATGGATGTGCGTTAAAAGTCACGATTAAGCGCCGCATCAACCCGCCGAGCGAAGCGCACATTTCCCTTCCCATTTCCACATCCCCATGATGAGCTGTTGACTCTTCTTTTTTTGTGTTTTTAGTCTCGGTTTTTTGGGTTTGGGTTTACCTCTCTTCATCCCGGGGGTGGATGTTGGCCTGGGCTTGGCTTTCGGGGCATAAACTGCATGAAATTAAGTAATTAACTGGCTGAACTTCACTCCACAGGTCACCGCAGGCGGCTCAAAAGGTCACATCAATATGCCATCGGTCATGATGGATGTGCGCTGATTTATCAAGTACAATAATTGATATTTATGTACAAATGGATTACCCTAACATATCAAAAAATATTATAATAATAATAAAGATAATAAAGAGTCTTTTTGATATTTTTTAACATTAAAATAAGGCAAAATGTGGTGTTCATTAAATTAGATATTTTATTTAAAGCCATACAATACCCTTCTTAAATATTAAATTATGATTTCGTTTAAGATTTTCAATATAAATTATAATATTATACAGACAAGCGATATATATATTTGCAACAAGAAAGCTTCCTAACATCTCTGTCATTTTGGTTCCCGCCCAAAAAGTTGCTCCCAAATCGGGGCATATAATTAGTGACTTGATCTGGGATCACAGCTGTTAGGTACCGAATGATTGCCGCGAAATATGTGTGTCATTTCTTATATGCCTGGCTATCCCATACTCACATATCTCACTTGAACCCGGGACACAAACGAGTTTGCCCCCGAAAATAGCTTTGTTGGCCCCTTCGCTTAGGGGTTCCTTGGGTTCTCTAGTCGCAGTTCTTGTCGGACATGACATAGGAAAACAATAGGCGACGTTTCGCCGGACAATGGACCACATCTATATAGAGATATAGAACAAAGGGGCCAGTGACCAACGGTCGAGCAGGAAAGTTCCCATCGTCCGAGGTTCCGAAGTTCCTAAAAACTATATACAAATAAATAAATGGACGAAGGCGCAAGATCGCGAGAAAAATGCAAATGAGGTTGGGACATTAAGTAGACGCTGGACTACTGACCATTGTCCAGTTTCGAGATCGGGACCCTAAAGGGGTTGCTGGTCCTTGGTCTTTGGTCTCATTTCGGAGGTCGTCTTAAGGTGGGATAGTAGTGAGCTGCAGTTTTCCCTTGCATCCCTCCCAAATTCCATTTCCATTTCCATTTCCAGTTGTGCTCCCATTGTAATGAGTTTGCGCTCGTTACTCACCCCGGTCACGTCACCCTTCCCCTGATCCTGACCTCAAGTCCTAACCCTTCCCCTCCTAACCCCCTAACCCCCCTAACCCTGCGAATACTGCAGTTGGTCAGCAGTCATCAGCGGCAGTCGCCTTAATTTACGGGCCCTCGGGCGACCTCATTTGAATATTAGTTAGGCTGGTCCTTCTTGGTCAATGATCTTGATTTGGGCCGGACCTCTGTGAAATTGCCACCGCCGAAGATATTCTCACATCCTTATGCATTACACGCTTGACCAGCCGAGGATCCCCCCTCTGAACTCATATTTCATTTGGCTGACCAGTCCTGGTCATCCCGTTTTCGTCTTCGGAGCGGTCAACATGCGTATTACAATTTGATCCGGAATCCCTTGATTAGGAATTTGTTTTATGACGCAGTCACTTCTTTTCCTTTCGACCCTTGCCCCTGCTCCTCGGCCGTTAAAATGATAATTTATGGATCCGCGGCCAAGGTCCTTTCGGGCATCCTTTCTGGGTTAATGAGAGTTTGATCTCGCGGCGATTTATCTCTGGTATTTCGTCTTTCGGAGGGCAGGCGAAATATATAATATCTTATTGATGGGATTAGCTGGCCAATGGGGGTTATCGCACTGCGAGATTTCCCAGGCTATCTTTGGAAATGGGTTATGTATTTTGCTCAACCTTTGGAATAGTTATGGGAAAAAACTCTTATTTTTATCAAAAACTCAGATCATTATTTTTCACCTAAATAATTGTCCAAACATTGAAAGTCAAACCTCGTTTAACTGATTATAAAATATTCTATTAATGGGCTTTTACATTTTATTTATTTTTTTATATTTTGTTTAGCACCTTAAAATTTGTTTTAAACTTAAAAATATCTCAAATTAAAGAAAATTTAAACTCAAGCTTCAGGCCCTTCAAACTCGAGATCCGATGGATAAAGTCAAGGACTTCGCGATTACAGTAAAAGAATAAAGTAGTTTGGCTAGAATGTGTATTTTATTATTTTTCAACCTCCGGCATAAATATCTTTATATCCATTGCAATAAACAAGCTTCAAGTTTTCTTGTTCCCTATCAAGACGCTCCATATTTGCTATCTTTGGATCGGTTCCCTGTTTTTTAGACCCACAGATACTGGCCCCTCGATACTCGCGGGCATTTAGTAGCCTTAATTGCAAGTTGTTTCTGTTACTGTTTCGGTTTCGCAGTTGCAAGTCCAGTCGAGCTTGGGATATCCTAAGGATGAGGTATAGAAAGGACGAAGGGGAAGGACGTAAAACCCGAAGCCGATCGAAATGAGGTCAGTGACTGGCGTTGCAGGCGCTCGAGAAACGAGATCGGGATAGGAAAAATTGTGGAGGAAAAGGACAAGCTGGCAGGACCCTTGGGCATTGTGCCAAGGCGTAACGGTTTTCGCTGCTTTTTTTTCCTTTTGGTGGCCGCCTTTGTTTTTTTTTTTTTAGCTGAAAGTCCAGGACGTGTCCGTTGAATGGCCGGGCAAATTAAAGCAGGGCAAGTTTCGGTCAAGGATTAGCAGGACCTCGTCGAAGGATGACCAACGGTCGTTATTAAAATAAAGGAAAAAAAATAAATGGAATACTATACTTATGTTTTTGGGTGAACTATTAAAAAACTCTAGCATTAAATAATATTATAATAAATATTAAAATAAATCGTCGAAACAATTAACCAGAAATTTAATAAAAATTCCCTTTAAAAATTATTTTGCTTGCCTCGAAGTAGGGAACTGCTTTGATTGGCTCAAATCCAATTGCGACCCCTGTACAGCTTCCATAATGGAGTGCAAAATCTGACATTTTCTAACCCAAAAATGGCCCTTGACTCTGGTCTAACCCCCACAACCCCTGACGAAAGCCAAGCCAACCCTTAGCATCCCTAAGATCCCGAGAGTTGAAAGTTCAAAGAACATTCTCGGACATTTTTAATGAAATTGACATGGACCCTTTTGGGTCGAAAGAGAGATCACATCACATCGGTAGCGGAAAATTCAATTAGTTTTTGGGCTGGAAAGTTCAAGATTTTCGTGTGCCCCTCGGACGGACATTGGTCAGCAGATCAAAAGGGGAAAGGGTAAACCAATCTAGCGTGACGGAGAGGAAAGGAACGGAACAGGATGTTGTTCAAGAATAAGGAAAGGGGTTTGGGTTAAGTCGCCAAACGGGTTTCTGCTCATCAAGCGTTGTTGATTTATGGGTTCACCACCCCTTTTCCCTTCCTATTTTCTTTATTCGTCATTTAGCCAAAGGGTGACAGATCAGAAGATCCAGATTCTGATTCAGATTCAGATCCAGATCCAGATCCCCGGGGCGCAAGTAGGGCAGCATCCCAAAACGGGATGATTACGACGATGATGATGATGATGATGCTGATCTTTCCCCTGGCCACTCGTCTGCGTGTTAAAATCCCTAACCCTAAATCCTCTGTCCTCTGAGAAGATATATCAGCTGCCTGACCAATTAGTCAAATGTCCTTTGGTTTTTTTCGCGCACTTTCACGGGGTTCTCTCTATAGATTTCCTTGGGAAAGTACTTACTTCATCTGCTGGCAAAAGTCCAAGATACACATATATGTATATTTCAACACACCAGCAGCAGTAGCATTTCATTTCAGGTGAAACAAGTTTCGGTTTTCCACAATTTCAGCATCATTTGGCGGCTCGTTCTCAGCACCTTTTGACCCCCAAAGACGAGTGTCGTTTTAACTGCGCCCAAAAACCAACAGCCAAAAACGAACAACCAACTGACAAAATCGGAGTAAGAAACACCAGCAGCAGCGAACAACTCGTAATATGTTTTTATTGCCATAAAAGATATGGTGCCTGCGACTTAGATGAAAGCTGGCCGAACTGGCTAAGTGGTCAGCAGTTTCCGTTAGCCCTCCGTGTGGCCAGTCCATCTTTCGCCGCTTATTTCATTTACTTCACATTTCTTATTTCTCATTCCAAGACCAAGGTGGCCTGGGCCCAGGTGTCCCCCTCCCACCCCCCACTACCCGAAGAAGCGACTAACTCCACACACTTAATTGCTCATATCTGTCACAACGCCGAGTTCGAGATCTCCTCTTCATGTCATGTTTATTTGCTTGGGAAGCTACAAGATTTTTTCGGGGGCTCTCAAGTTAAGTCTTCTAGAGGAAAGAGTAGTCCACATGCTATATAGTTGGTTAGAGACCTTACAGACCTCTATAAACTGTCCATTTCTAGCTAAACAAAGTCTGTTAAAAATTATGATCTTAATGATATCAATACAAATCCTACTATACCATATTAATTATATCCTATACTTCCATCTATACCATCCCAAGTTAAACACAATATTTATGGAATATCTATTAAAAATTTCAAGTTAAACACAATATTTTTAGAATATATCTTGAATATATAGACCTCGATACAAATCCTTTAATACTGTCTTACCTATATGCTATACTCCTATCTATATTTTCCCAATTTAATCACAATATTTATAGCATATCTATTAAAAATATCGACGTTAAGAACTTCAATATAAATCCTACTAATACCATCCATACTATCCTAAGCTAAACACAATATGATACTTTTATTGTTTTTTTTTACATAACATATATTATTAGAGAAACTATTCAATAGTTGAACTCAGTTTCATATCGCATGATACTTAAAAACCAAGAGATAAACGAATAATTTGGGGAAAACACAATGGTTATTTGAAATGCGATTCTAGGAATACTCCTTGTTCGGCTTGAACTTCCTGGCCGCCTTGATGTGGATGCCCAGGAAGGTGTTGCAGCGGCTGCAGAAGAGATACTCCCCGTCATCCGGGGGAGCCAGGCAGGGGAAGAGGCACTTGGCCCAGGAGCACCAGCCGGAGTACAATTCGGCGGCGGATTTGATCACAGGACGTCTCTTGTGGCCACAGGCCGGGCAGAAGATACTGCCACCGTCTGCGTGGCACCACTTGTTCACGGACACCTTGAAGGACATCTTCCGGAAGAGCTTCGCCTCGTCCTCGGAACAGGAACACGATGGATTCCGGGATTTGGGAGAGGACTGAGCCTTGATCTTCGGATAAATCTGATTCTTTTGGAGCGTTTTTGGACACGTCTGTTTCTTGGTCTTCTGACATACATGATCCTGGGAAACTGGACATGCAGTGGGAACTTTTCTAGTCGCCTTCTCTCCAGAAAACCTCCTCTTGAGCTTAACTGTTTAATAAAGAATTAGAGAATATTTAAAGGAAATATTAGTTAGTGTAATTTAAGATAGTTTAAAGGTAACAAATATATTATTATTTCTTGTATTTTATTTATGATATGCTATGCTAAAGTGAACTCGACTTACTGCACTCCGAATCGGAATCGGTGAGAGACGACAACTTGCTGCCTCCGTTTACCACGACTGCCGACTCCAAGGATCCCAGTTTGTGGATGTTCTTGACCCTGGCACTGGCCACTGCGAACAAATCGGGGTGATCCAGTTCGATGTGACGGAGTAGACCGCCGGTATCGTAGCGGGAGCATCGCACCACCTTCATGCACTGCAAACAACGCATGCTCTGCTCATCGTTGTTGATCTTCGGTGTGTTCTGCTGGGACATCTGAATGCTTTTTTTTTTTAAGAATATTTACTAATGTAAGTTGACTAGTATTTTACGCAGTAAAAGTGTTTGTCGGGGGAGAGTGGGGAGAGTATGGGTTCTACGAAAGGGGTGACTTGAACTTTAGATTCGCAGCCTGCTAAGTTACTTAAATATTTTTAAATTATTTTTTCAATGCAATTTTTGACAAAGTTATTCACATTCAAATTTGCAATTAGAACGAAATCAAAACGTCTCGAAAATGGCCAAAAGTTAAGAAATCCATCAGCAACAACCGCATCCAGTAGTGCATCATGCAATCTTCCTCTTCAATTTCCATTTACCATTTGCCGCATTCATAAAACAAACAAAAAAAGACAGAAAAAAAAGAAACCTCGGCGAAATCATAATAAATATCTCGCGTAAATGCAACAAATTTGTGGCGCATGCGCAACCAGCAACCGGCTGCTGTTGCCGTGTAATTAACAAAAACAACAGAGGAGCCCACTGCACCACCACCCACTGCACCACCTGCACCACCGCCCCCCGCCCACTTTGCCACCTTCTTCGATGAGCTAACCTTTTTTTTTCCCCCTATGTTTTTGTTGCCTTTAACTGACGGCACGCGCTGCGCTGCGATGCAATTTTCGGTATCTGCAAGATACATTCGCCGCTTTTATGATTTACGCTCGCCTCGCTTTATATAATCGGTTCGGATCGGATCGGATCGGACCTGCACAACCTGCACAGCTGAAAGAGAAGCAGAAGCATTTCATAATTGAAAATGTTGCAACTATTTGGTGGTAGCAGCTCCTCCATCCATCCATCCATCCATCTGTCTGCTCGGCTGACTCTTGGCTGCGTTGCATGTTTGATTTCTGCTAATGCAATGCGGCATCTTGTTGCTGTTGTAATTAACAGCAGAGTTTTTTCTTTTGTTTTGTATTTTTTTTGTATATCTGTGGGCCTTTTAAAAGGCCTCGAAGGCATCCAAACATCCAAACTCCATTCAGGAGGAAGTGGCCGCATATCAATTGCCTGGAAATGCGATCAAATCACTGCCGGGTTTCGTTCCGAACAGCCCGCAAATAAAAACACAGTGGATAATGCTGGATAATGCGATTTTACCAGATAAATGGTCGATACATATATCTTTTGTTAAGGCCTACTTAACTTACTTTCTATTAAATACTTAAACATTTGTTTGATAATCCAAGCTCTAACAAATGTAGCTTAAGATAACTGCGAAATTAAATATTAATATTAAAAAAAACTGAAAGAAAATTAATGCGATTTATTACATTTATTTTCTACTCTTTTTTATTTTTTTTTTTTTCTATACACCATCTTAAATTCCCAAGAGACCTCCATTAGTCACATTTAAATATGGAAAACGCTTCGAGATCAGTTGACAAGGCTAAAAGCTGCACACTTGGGTCTCAGGTTCGTGGGCAAAAACAGAAAAAAAACGAAATAAAAGAGGCTAAGAGGAGAAGCTCTTCTCGCGCGGCGCCTTTCGTGATGGCTTGTTCCCAAAGGTATTCGCTTACCATGTCCGTGATCCGCTATCGCATGTCTAGTATCACTTTCGATGGCCTTATCATCGCTATCATTTCTGCAAGGGAAGAGGGACCCGAAATGGGCAACTTTGCGCACGCGCAGTGCATCACGTTTAGCCAACACCCGAGGAACTCACTCGCACGGATACGGATGGATGGCCAAATGGATTGATGGATGGATGGACAGATGGATGGATTGTCCGCGGAGGAACAGGAACTCAGGTTTCGCTCATATTAACGCAGACTGGCTCCAGACGGTCTTGTTATCCGAGACCACCTCTTACGTAAGGAGGCTGCTCTCCAACTCAAAGTGCTCACTCAGCTCATCCGCTTCTACTTACTGACAAAATAAATACAACTTTTAATTGCACCAACTGCAAATAATTCTCAAAAAAAACAAATAAAATAACAATAACAAGAAAGGAAGCTAGCTTCGGCAAACCGAAGATTATATACCCTTGCAGATCATTCTATTAATTTACAAATCGCAAAAATGTTAAATTTCTTATTATTTCACATTAATTTTTCGATCGTTTCTATCACAGCTATATGATATAGTAGTTCGATCTTTTAAAAATTAAAATCGAAATTCGGAAATATTTCAAAATAGTCATATCCCAGAGAAGAAGGGAATGTAATAAAAACCAACAAAGATATAATTTTTTCCCATTAATTTCCATTTAATTTTTCGACCGTTCCTATGGCAGCTATATGATATAGTGATCCGATTTAAAAAAACAAAAAAACCGAAATTCAGAAATATATAGAAAAAAATATTCCCAAGAGTAGAAGGTAAAATTAAAAAAAACACCGGAGCTAGAATTTTTTTACGTTTTTTTTTTTTTGATCCTTCCTATGGGAGCTATAAGATATAGTTGTCCGATCCGGTTGGTTCCGACATATATACTACCTGCAATAGAAATACGACTTCTACGAAAGTTTCATCCCCATAGCTTTAAAACTGAGAGACTAGTTTGCGTAGAAACGGACGGACAGACGGACGGACAGACGGACAGACGGACAGACGGACGGACAGACGGACATGGCTAGATCGACTCGTCTTGTGATGCTGATCAAGAATATATATACTTTATGGGGTCGGAAATGTCTCCTTCACTGCGTTGCAAACTTCTGACTGAAATCATAATACCCTCTGCAAGGGTATAAAAATATATATCGAAAAAACCAATTAAATTCAATCAAAAGTTCGATTGTTTAATTCTTGTGATTTCAAAAGGTAAGAGTGAAAAGGGGAAAAGACTATTTATTCCCTTTGGTCACGTGGCTGAGTTTACCGTAATCTACCATCATCATCATCGTGATGATCTCTCGCCCCGTCTCTTTCGCTCGCCGGAGATCGATATACGATTGGCAATGTGTGTCGTTTGTCGATTTCCTGCTTCACACATTAACAGTCGATCGGTGTCCGTAACCCCATCTTTATCGATTGGAGAACTGTTGGGACAACACAAACAACCGAACTCCCCAAAGAGTTCTCCTCTTTTTTTCTGCGAGTGTGTGCCATGGGTGTGAGTATCTGTGCCATGGTTCTTCTCGCTTGTATGAGTATTGCTGGGTTTTTCGACGGTCACGTCCCCTACATAAATATCCATAAAAAGTAATGCTCACATCCGTCCGGATGAAATGCGTTCGTGTTCGGCGCGAGAGCGAGAGCAGTGAGAAGAAAGAGAGAGAGAGAGAGAGGGAGATACATGGATAGAGAAGGAAGATCATTGGGAAGGGGGTTAAAGATTAATACTACACATCGAACAAATATTGTCAAAACATGTATCATACTTTAAAACAAATCTAAATAGGTCTATATATAGTTTGACTTTTAAAAATATTTTAAAAAAATAAAATTAAAAAAAAAAAAAAAGTTAAATATTTATAATAAATCTTTTCTCTCTCTGTGGCATAGTTGGAAAATCTTGCAACACTTTCGTTCACTCTCAAGCCTTCAAGCCTGCTCTATCGTAAATCACAAGCGATAAGATAACACCCATAAAAATAAGTCAAAACCTTCACACGATCAGAGCGAAATCAAACAGAGATATAGACACTGGCATACCTGAGATGTCCGCATCATATTCCATCCATATCCATCCCGCATTCGATGGAGTTATCGGGCAGGTGTCCATCACATCGGGGCAAACAAAACGGGTATATCTCATAAGCTATATGCACTCGTATATCCATCCATCCAGAGGGTCCAGGGAAAGTACACACGAGAATCGGAATCGGAATCCGAATCCCAGAGTGTTTTGATTTGTTGCCTCATTGGTCTTGGTATTTCGGGTTTTGTTTGGGTTTATTGCGGTTCAGTTGATTCAATATTTACCCTGCTTATCGAGCACCCACGATCCGTTCAGGATTCCAGATGCACAGCGTGTCGATGGGTAGAAAATGGGTCAGAGGGGAGTTCATTTAGGGGGTTAAATGGGGGATCCAAAACAAAGTGTTATCTTTCTTTAATAATACTATGTTGTTTAATATAAGGGAAAGGAAAGAGTAGAACGGGGTCACCAAACTTAAAACTCATCACAAAATTCATCACAAATTTATTAGCTTAAAACTAATATCCTGAAATATCCCAAATTCAATATTGCACTCTACAGATCTCGCTATCAACGAAATCCCTGGATATTTTCGGTGAAGGCTCGTGTCGGGGTCACCACTCAAGTAGCGCCAGCAACCTCCAATCGAGTCTCACTTCTAGCCAAGACCTTCTCCGCGGAACGTTCGTTCGGAGGCTTCTGGCCAATTAGCCGACTATGTGGTATCGAGTATCGAGTATCGAGTACCATCGAGCACCGTGTGGCAAGGTCAACGGATTACCTTCTTCGCCTTGAACGCAATTTACCGGTGGCCATTCGAATATTTACAATCCAAGTCCACATCCGCCCACCAGCTGCTGCTGCTTCTGCTTCTGCTTCTGCTTCTGCTGCCATCTTGGCCACATCATCGACGGCACCTTGGTGTTTGGCCAACAAACCCACCAGCCAAACAGCTAACCAACCAACCAATCAAGTCAACACCCATCGCACCAACACCCAGTCAAGGCTGCTAATGTCGTGCTGAGCGGACCCACATCCTCCCGGCCAATTATTATTAGTTCTTAACTTGTGCAAATAATTCAATTAGCCAATTATCGTGGCTCCAACGAAACTATAAAAAGTCGATTGGCTAATACACTTTTAAATAATAATAAATATTCATGGGGAAAATTAATAAAAACTCTGAGTCTTAAGGTTATAAGAAAAATCTATATTCTTGATAAAAATAGCATCCCTGAGACCTCAAAGTAAAGCTTGAAAATGATCGATATTTGCGATATTTTTCCAATATCAATTCTATAATATTCTTTTAAGCCATACTTCATAGCGAATATAACCAACTGGAAGATCCATCAAGGCGCTGAAATCAATGTTGCAGTTATTAGAGTGCAAAAGTAAAACGGAGTCATTGCTAAAGCGTCAAAAGACAAATCAATTAAGCGCGGCTGTCCAAGTATCTACATATCCAGCTAGCCAAGCATATTGTGCATATCTAGATATAT